AGGAACTTATTAAACACAAGAACCCATAAAGCACTCCTCTAACTGAACAGTTGTTAGTTCAAACCCACTAGCTGCTCCATGGGAGAAAGAATGACAAATCTGACCCCATAAAAACTACAGTCCTGGTGTGGCACTGTGGGGGGTAAGCACTGGACTGCTAACCACTAGTTCAAACCTACCAGCCACTTCCTGGAAACCCTATATAAGGTCACCATGCATTGGAACCAGCTTGACAACAGTTAATAACAACACAAGTACAGTAAGTATAATGATGACAAAGCAAAAACTACACCAAAACCAAAATCAAGAAAATATAAAACTGGCAAGGGCTAAGAAATGTCAACAATCACTTATTTAAATGCTAAAGTTTTTAACTGATTTCTTTCTAAGACATAATCTTGTGAAGCTCTATTGAAATGTTGTTGCTGTATGCTGTTGAGTCGGTTCTGACTCATAGCACCCCTGTTATAAGGTTTCTTTAGAAGTGGCTGGTGAGCTTGAACCGCCGACTTTGCTGTTCCAGCTGACTGCAGCCCTGCACATTAACCCACAGCGCCACACCAGGACTCCTCTGTTATAATAAATGCACCAAGAGATATAAGCAACCTTTTATTGAGTCTAGGACTCCATACTACAAATTGTGAGGTGTTGCATTTGTTTGAAGTCTCTTATTAATCACAGTTAATCCCTTAGCTAAACTCAATAAACAGTACTTTTTTATTTATATCATATAAAAACATGGCTTATATAAGCAAAATCCATCCACTGGAACGTAACCAGAAGCTGGCAGATTTTTAAGTCTGACTAATGGCCTTTGGAAAAGCTTTTCCTTAAAAAGGTCTTTGCTTGTAAATCTTGTTTTCACTCCCTGTTCCTCTCTAAAACCGAATACCAAGTCTTTGTTTCCTAGTAGCTCATTAGCATCAAACGTTTACTCATTCTTTCGATTATCACCTTTCTTTGTATGTAACAGGGAACAAAACAAGCAGAAGACTGGACGAGGTGACAAGCACATCAGAACTGTATTACCTTTCTATAAACTTTAAAAATCCAGTTAGTATAAAAAATTCACATAAAAGAAGGAGCATGTGAAAATTGCCTACTATACCATCAAATCTCCTTGACCGGATGGAATCACCAATTTTATGACTTTTAGAGAGGAAAATAAATGGTTCATTCTTATATTTTATTAAGATATAAAGGCAAATTCAAGGGTTTCTATCAAAGTTGGCATTGTTGTTGTTGTTATGTGCTGTCGAGTTGGTTCCGACCCATAGCAAAAGTTGGCATAAGTCATATTATAATAATCTTTCAAAACCCACACAGGGAGAGAACTGTTGGGAAAACCAGAGATTATTGCAAAAAAAAAAGCAGACAGTATAGCATTTTGAGTTTCAGAAGCATCAAGGTAAGGAAAGTTGCCCATCAAAGAAAATCCCCTTCTAGGACTGAAAGTTGAAGGGAACCAGAGTCAGATGTTGGCTGGTGAATGCCTGGATCTACATGAACAGACGATCCCAGGACCAGCAAGAAGGAAGAGCATTAGTGGAGCGTGAGATCTCTACCTCAAAAAGCGATGATAGCAGAGATGGTGGCAGAGGCAGTGGTAATGAGACAGAGCAGCTGCGGGCTCTAGGCTCATAGATTGAGACAGGCTCTGTGTCTATTGGCAGGAAGCTGACAAGAAAAACATGCCCTTTGGACATTTAAATGTATATTTGTTTTGTATGTGTGCCTCAAATATTTTTGCTTTGTTAATTTGTGAAATATAAGATGTAAATGAAGAGCCACAGGGAGAAAGTAGGATAACTGTTGTTGCATGGAGGGGATTGCAATCATTGACATGAAACAAAGTATAATTTGTTGAATGTAAAGCTGATGATCTTGTCTGTAAAACTTCACAACTCACAATAAAAAGTTCAACAACAACAACAAAAAACCACACAAGAGTAAAATGTTCATACAATGATCATCTTAGCATAAAGAGGGATGCCCCCCCCCCCATTCGTCTTTGGATTTTCTGTAACAGGAGTATGCTAATTTTTGAACTGAAAAATCAGTCTTCAACGTTCGATAATAGAACATCGATATGCCATGAGGAAAGCAAGTCCTAAGATCTATCCATTTTTACGTACTTTTAAAAAAAACTGACAAATGATCCCATGAAGCACCGAGATTCACTCTTGAATTAAAACAAAGAGCTGTACCTGTTCCTTTCCGTGCAAGCTCCAGACTCCAAGGGGGTTTCGTGGTGGGTGGGTCATCGCAGTCTGGCGGCAGCTGAGGCACCAACACTGATCGAAATTTAGACAGTCCTGAAACACCAAACAAGGAAAAAGACGGATTCATCACTTTGCTTCTCAAAAGAAGAAAAAAGGCTGACCGGTTTTGTAAGTAAACCTTAAAACCAGAAGCCGTTCCACCACAGTGAAATTCTAATAGTAAAAAGAAGGCTGTTTTCAAAACCACTGAAGATCTCATCTGATTTAATGCTTTGTCATGATTCCTATACGCTGAAGTCCAAGAACAACATGGTTTTAAGAAAGACAGCAAGTTTGAGCTGTTTGTTTAATATTTAAAATTAGACTGCATATTTTGGTACAGGAATCATGCCATATTTGTAATATTCAGATGGGACTTTGCATGTAGTAAAAGTTTGCCCTGTTCCTGAAAAAATCTGTTGACAAACTCCATTATAGTATTTACTGTGCATACATATTTACAAAATCAGTCAAAAAGTCTTTCTTTCAGGATTCCAGTTCATAATGGCATGGTTTAAAAACCACATCTCTCTGATTAATGGATGAAAGCAAACAAGTTCTCTCACCAAGACACCTGTCTTAATCTCATTTGGGTGCCTTCAAAAAAAAAACACCATCCAATCAAAACAATGGCTTCCAAGAGGACCTGCTGGCAGGTTGAGTTCAAGACAGAGAGATCAGCTCACAAGGTTATGGAGACTGGTGTTTGGAATCTCAAAGGGGTAATGTTGGTAGATTTTTCTGAAGGACACAGGACAATCATGGAGGCTACTAAGGAAGACATTTCAAGAAAATTAAAAAGTGCACTGTGATAAAAAGGCCAAGAAAGTTGTGCCAAGGAATTTTTTTCCATCATAATGCACGTACTCATTCTTCAAGGATTGGTCTATGAGAATTCCATTGGGAAATCTTATTCCATCGACCCTACAAGCCCTGATCTTGCCCCTTCAGACTTCTTTTTGTTTGTAAAAGTCAAGGAACACACTTGGAAACCCTGAAGGATGTATCCATCAAAGGAGCAGAATTCTTTGGGGAGGGTTAGCTATGGAAACACGGCATTCAGCAGTGTATGGACCTAGAATGGGGCTATGTTGAGAAACAGTCGCTTCCCATTTCAGTTTGCATTTAATAAAGGTTTCTATGATGTGCAGCAATACTTTCTGGCTTACCCTTACGCATCAACACAAATGTCTTAGGTAGTATTTTCAAACAAAAACATGATGTTAGGAGAGACACATGCAAAAATCTGTATGACAGTGTGTGGGAAAAGAAGATAAAACTAGAAGTACTTGTGTTATGAGCAGAATGAACTTTAGTCCCCCCAATTTTAATGTTAGAACAATCAAGCATTCAAGATCAAAAGAGCACTATTTGCCCATGGACAAAGTTCAGAATATAGGAAGAATTAGGAAAGCTGGAAGAATGGAATGAGAACTACAGAGGAGAAGTTGATGAGGGAATATGACATTGTGGGATCACAATCAAGGACACGAAACAAAATGGATAGTAACTGCTGAATGGAACAATGTAGACCTGTACCAAATTGACAGAATTTTAAAAATATTTAATTTACTTATGGCTACGTAATTTTTCAAAACTCTAATATTTTATTCCAAAATTAACTCTGCCTGTAAAAAAAGAGAAATAAATTCAAGTTACTGAAGAGAGTCTGATGAACAGGCTTTATAAAAAGCACATACTAGACAGAAGCCTGCCAAATGCTTAAAGAAGACCCAAAATGAAATTTTCTTATTTTCTTTCTTCCTTCGCATACAAACAACATGATATAATCAAATCTTTTATACTGACTAGTTTTGCAGGACTAAGGTGTGCCTGAGCTAAGCCGTGGTATTTTCAATAGCATCATATGCATGTGAAAGTTGAACAATGAATAAGGAAGACCGTAGAAGAATTGATGCCTTTGAGTTATGGTGTTGGTAAAGGATACTGAAAGTACCATGAACTTCCAGGATGGTGAGACTTTATCTTATCATACTTCAGACGTGTTGTCAGGAGGGACCAGTTCCTGGTGAAGGACATCAATGCTGGTAAAGTGCAGGTCAGCGCAAAAGAGAAGCCCCCCAATGAGACGGACGGATCAGTGGCTGCAACACTGGGCTCAAACCCAAAAACCGTGCGGATGGTGCAGGACCAAAATGCTTCATTCTGTTGTGCACAGGGCTGCTATGTGTCAGGAACAACTAACTCGCAGGTACCTAACAACACTTTTACACTCAGAGTTGTTCATGTGAAAATAAAACACTGCCCATAGAAGAGTGCTATCATCCGAGCCCTGCCCATGACCACAGTGGGGGAAGAACAAGGCCTTACCTGGAGTCGATGGCCTTTCCAGCATGTTCAGGTGATGAGAAATGAAAGCCTGACTATCATGAACAGTATCCATGTCAATTTCCTCTTCGTCTTGAGAATTTGAGAACTAAACACACACACACGCACACACAAAACACACACACAAAAAAAGCACACACAAAACACAGAAAAGGAACACCCATGACATGACTTTATGTCTCAATCTTACTTCTTAAGAAAGATAACATCAAAGTTATTAAGAATTGCCCCCAAATAATTGTAAAAGGATAAGTATTGTTTTTAACTCAAAAAGACTTAAAGAAAAAAATTACGTGGTCCAGCCCCCAAAAGAAGCTGATTAGAAATTATTGGAAATGCAGTAACAGCTAAACTCTATGCCTATGTTGTGGGAAGAAGTAGTGAGCAATGGTAGTAAATGCACACATAGTTTCTCCCCCAAATAGAGAGAAGAAGTTTGTCATCATAAAATTTAAACAACTGAATGGGATGTCTCAGAAGCACATCTGGGTTATTTTATGATTTAATGTGTCCCATGTGTTTCAGCTAAGGAAAAACCAAGACAAGTATTCAAAAAGATTTACAAGAAGGTGAATATCCTACACTGTTAATACAGGTTTAACCTGTATTTCTTACTCTGATTTTGAGTTTGACTTTACTGCTATCCTCATTCTTCTCCAGTATTTGACCAGGTTCTAGTGGGGACCCCAGTGGTGTATCAGCCTTCCTCTTCAATCCCTGCTGATGAGCTGATATATTACATGATGCTTCCTTGGCAAGGTGATCATCTTCCTGCGGCAATATTCAAGATCAAAATTAGATTTCTGAAGACAGTAGCTCACATTAAAGCTGAAAACTAATAGCTTAAAAGCAGCCATGCAGGTCTCAGAGTTAGCCCAGTGCCTAACAGTTATCAGCAGTGGGCTTCAGATAAACGTTACCTTTCACTATCTGCTGAGCAGTGGGCTTCAGATAAACGTTACCTTTCACTATCTGCTGGGCAGTGGGCTTCAGATAAACGTTACCTTTCACTATCTGCTGGGCTTTCTGTTTTGCCTTTTTTTTTTTTTTTTCCCCCTTGGGGCGGGGGGGCAGAGGAGCTACAAAAAGTAGAATATATGTAAGTGAACTTCTTAGAGCTTTAGAGCTTTCCCAAAAGAATGTCTCTTGGTTATTTCCTCCTCTTGGCAAGTGTGAATGTGGACACCAGATACATTAACATGCATGAGCATGAAGCACATTTTGACAGGCTTATAAATATCCCATTCTGAAAGAAATCCATGAGACCCTTTTCTATGGAAGGATTTTTCTTGCTTCCTCATAACTCAAAACTCTAGAAAACATTCTAAATTTACAACAAATAAAGATTTTTATTTCATAAAATCACAGTATGCACATGTTAAATGACTAACCAGGATAGAGTGAATCTGAGCTTTAAAGTGTCAAAGCGACAGTAGGGAATTGCCAGGCAAGTAATCTGGTCGAAATACTGGTGAAAAATGAAGCTTGAAGTGCTGGGGACATTTAGTCATCATTATGAATATCACCAGAAACAATTCTTAAAATTACAGTACCATAATTAACTATGTGTATCCTAAAAGTCTCTCGAGGAAGGCTTGACAATTTGATAATGAATGTCTACAAATAAAATCTTTTGTGAAGGCAAATGCACACAGATACCAATAAAAAAAATGCAATGTATAGTCTCTTCATAAATCAGTGGATTACTCATTCCCCAAGCTATTCATTTATCTATCTTCGGTTTATTTAACTATCTATCTACCTATCTATTTACCCATCATCTATGAGGGGAGGTCAAGAAGTTCATGGAAAACTTCACTATCTTTTAATTCCATTTTTCTGTAAATTTTTTGAAGCCCTTTCATACTATGTACCTACCAACTATCTACCTACCCATCTATCTATACGAGGAGACTTTACACAATTGAAGAAAAAATGGAATTAAATAGAACATTTTGAGGCCCACTCGTTTATCTGGCTGGCTGGCTTGCTTTTTGTTGTTGTGAAGTGCTGTCAAGTTGAGTCGATTCTGACCCACAGAGAACCTGTGTAGGGTTTCCAAGGAGCAGCTGGTGAGCTTGAACCATTGACCTTGCAGTTCACACGACTTTGCAGTCTGACGCATTAGCCCACAGCGCCACACCAGGACTGCGGCTACTTGCCTACTACTTAATTAATTCAACAAGTGTTTGCTAAGCACTTTACATACACTGAGAATTGTGACAGGCATAACTCATAGTAGCAATGAAAAAGACAAGAGTCCTGTGTTCCAACAGCTTACTATTGAACATATACAGGCAAATCAGTTAAATATGTAACAGCTTACATATTACTTTCAATCTCCTGCTACTCAAAGTAGAAATTCTATGCTCAAGTACAAGAAAAACCATTATGTCCTCACAGGAAGAATCAATGGGCTGGCAGCACATCTGTTACATAGTGCAGCTCTGCATCTACCAGTTGTTGTTGTTGTTGTTAAGTACTGTGGAGTCGGTTCCGACTCATAGTGACCCTACACAGGGTTTCCGAGGCTGCAAATCTTTATGGGAGCAGAAAGCCTCCTCTTTCTCCCATGGAGCTGCTGCTAGTTTTGAACTGCCGAACTTGAGGTTAGCAGCCCGATTTGTGACCACTACCCTACCAGAGCACTTTATAAACTGTAAATTGTTAAACACATACCAGCTTCCATTTGTGTAAACGGTGCATGGAACTGTGTTAGTGCTATAAACTTCATCAGTTTCAAAAGAAGAAATTCATTTGTCTAGATGGCTGCGTATAATAAACCAACACCTTCAGTAACACATGTTATTCTTACAGCGTTCTGAAATCCAATGAGCTGAGGGTGACCGCCTAGATTACTTGCAGCTTCTGGGTTGCCAGCTACAGCCTCTGGAATGATGGTAGGATTCAACACAGCTTTTTTCTCCTTTAGATTAAGAACCAACCCAAGTTCTGGCAAAGGTAAGCAGGAAGGTCTACTGAGGCCAAAGAGTGTGAAATACAAGTCCACAGCACCACACCGCAACCTCCAGTCATGTGCAGTTCCTAGGAAGTGAGCAGTCATAAAATGAAAATCAAGAATGACAGTAACCCATATATTTTTAGTTATTCTAGAATCTGTACAGAGAACGGGAATAAAAACAGGATTATTACCTAGTAAACCCTGTCCTCCACAAATTCACCTTCTGTTGTTAAGTGCAATCAAGCCGGTTGACTCACAGTTAATCAATAGTTACAGAAACAACGAATGCTGGTCAATGAACCCATGAGCATTGTAATAGGAAGAGATTCTGTTATCAACCATTCTTATATTTCACATCAACAGAGCTAGGATTGCAAAAATAATTTTTTTCTAACCTGAAATCTTCCTTTTCATCCCTCCTCCCCCCAAAACGACTCCACATTTATTCATTCTCTGTTCATCTTGACTGATTTTCTTCTGTTTGCCTGCTAGGCAGAAAGATAACGCCCTATGAGCTTTTTATCACTGGATTTTATCACTGGAAACAAAGTCTCCTAACTCTACAATTTATTACTTTCAACTTTTAATTATGATGAGAAACACTATGACTACTTGAGAAAAAAAAACGAAAAACACCACAATTCTAAACTTGGGTTAATGCAGAGGAGGAAAATATTTTGCTACACACCATCATATTGAATATTTCTTAAATATTTGACCAAAAGACTGGCTATGTAGAAAGTTCTTTATTAAACTAACTGACAGACTGGAGGGATTTTCTTTCCATTTCTCTGGCTATCATCATATTTTTCATCTTTAAGGGTTTCAGGTTTTTGTCTTAGATTGCATCTCTCTCCATAGCAATGACAGACTAGAACTTACAGATACCAGAACGTTCTGACTCTTCTTTTCTTCTCAGTAGAGCACTCCAGATAGACACAGCCTGATGAAATTTACTTGTCATGTGGGTTTAGATCACCTACATGACTTCTGTTATTGTCATTAGGTGTAGTCATGGCAGTTCCGATTCATAGCGACCCTATGCACAAAAGAACGAAACACTGTCCAATCTTGTGCCAACCTCACAATTGTTGGTACATTTGAGCCCACTGCTACTGCCACTGTGCCAATCCATCTCCTTGAGGGGTCTTCCTTTTTTTTCTCAGACCCTCCACTTTGCAAAGCATAATGTCCTTCTCCTGGGACTGGTCCCACCTAATATCAGGCCTTAAGTATGAGAGACAAAATTTGGCCATCCTGGCTTCTAAGGAGGATTCTGGCTGTACTTCCTCAACACAGATTTATTAGTTCTTCTGGCAGTCCATAGAACTTATTCTTCTCCAACCAGAACTCAAAGGCATCAATTCTTCTATGGTCTTCTTGATTCACTGTCCAAATTTCACATACATATCAGGTTACTGGAAATACTATGGCTTGTGTCAGGTGCACCTTAGCCCTCAAACTAACAACTTTGCTCTTGAATACTTTAAAGAGGTCTTGTGCAGCAGATGTGCCTAATGCAATACATCGTTTGATTTCTTGACTGTTGCTTCCATGAGTGGTGACTGTGTATCCAAGCAAATCCAAAGACTTTGATCTTCATCGGTAATATTTGTCTTTTTTGCTTTTAACAAGCAAGGTTGTATCGTCTGCATATCACAGGTTGTTAATGAGTCTTTCTCCATTCCTGATGTCATGTTTTTCTTCATATACTCCAACTTCTTATATTACAACCCAAGTACTCCTTTCCTAATTTCAAACAATTCAGTGTTCCCTTGTTCTGTTTGAATGACTGCCTCTGAGTCTGTGTACAGGTTCCTCATGAGCACAACCAAGTGCTCTGGAACAGACTATGAATTTAAAATGATCTAGAGAATTCAAGTGAGTCGAATATGGAAATCCTTCTGGATAAAAAACATTAAACCATATAATTACTTAAATTTGACCAAGAATTATGGTTTCAATATAGAACTGTAAAAAGGAAACAAAATTAAAAGTATACGTAGTGACAGCAAATTTAAGATATCATGATTATTAATTTTTGTGGTGTTCAACAGTAAATACTGTAAATAAACAAGTTACCTAGTAGTTATACTGATGAGAGTCCCTCTACAATTTCAAGTAACATGCCAATTACATGCAAAGGGAACTCACAATAGGGGTGTTATGAGTTTACTGAGTTCATATTAGATAGTGCACTATGCTAGGCATGTCCTGGAGAAGGATACATATGTTTAGTAAAGTACATGGTAATTGAAAAAGGGGAAGACCCTCAACAAGACAGACTAACAGGATTCTCCAGTTTGGGGGCAGGAAAAGCAGAGACAGACAGCGAAAACTCCTCTGCCAAACCCCCACCCCCGCCCCCCCACCCCCAGAAAAACAGAGAAAGAGCGGTCCGCAGAAAAACTGCGGAGCTTTGGATCTTGTTTAAGGTTCCGGGTACCAGTTCCCTGCGCCCATTGAGAAGAAATCTGTCAGTGGAAGCAAAATACAGTGATTTCTGAATTGATCAAGCCTCAGAGGCCAGCAGCTAGAAATCCTCAGGCCTGAGGGCGGAGCCACAGCAAAGCGGAGGCAGTGACCCAGCACTAGAAGCCGCGGAGCTGTGCGTATGAAGGAAGAGGTGTGAGTGATTTGTCATCTTTCACGTATCTCTCCTCGTCACCCCAACCGCAACCTCACTGCACAGCCTAGATACCTTCAGGCGGGTGAGAGCACACCCCCAAAAGGGTCCAGCATTGCACCCACGGTCTGCCAACGGCATAGAGATGAAACCCACATGCTGCTTGTGACATTTTGACCCCAGGAACCCACCCCATAGTTTACCTAGGTGAGACCCTTTGCATAGCAAAGGTCAGTGAACAGCGTAAATCACAATTTTATTTTTGTTTCTGATTGGTGATATCTGTCCCTGCTTTCACATTGTTTCTGTCTTTAGTCCTTTGGGCCTCACAATTCTCCCAGGAGTTGGAGCTTTCTCCCCCTACCTCACCCAAGAAAAGAGACAGCAACTGTGCCCACAGAGCTAAGCTACAAGCATACCCTGTAGTACCCACCATCTGGACAAGGGCCAAAAACAGCTGCTAGGCATTACACATGAAAGGGGAAGCCTATCTCCAGATCACATCCACCACGAGACGCTCAGAAAGCTTAACAAAAAGCAATACACATCCATTTAAGCATTAAAAACTCATATAATTGTTGAAAATGTCCAAGAAAACACAATTAAAGATATCAACACATGTCCAAAAACAGAAAAAAGTAACTGAGACAAATGAGCTGGAAGCAGACACAGACTTTCCAGTAGAAGAGCAGGCTCTGGATCTGCCTGAGAAGGAATTCAGAAGAATAATATGGAAACAAATTAAAATGCTCTAAAAAGGGGTGGAAGAAAATAATAAGTCAGGAAAGTGCTACGGGAGGAAACAAACAAGATAGTTATGGCATTGAAAACAATCCAAAACCTGCAAAAAGAGGTCCAGATAATAATAAAATATCAGAAATGGACAATACACTGAAAGGGCAAAGGAGCAGAATGGAAGAGATGGAATCCAGAACCAGCAAGCTAGAAGATGAATCTCTCCATACTGCTAAGATAGAAGAGCAAACAGAAAAAAGGATTAAAAAATCTGAAGAGGTCTAAGATTCGTGCTGGATAACATAAAGAGGAATAATTTAAGAATTATTGGCATTCCAAAACAGGAAGAATCATAGAAGTCCACAGAAGAGATAGCTGAAGAGCTTCTGGAAGAAAATTTTCCTAACATTTTGAAGCAAGAGAAGATAAACATTCAAGAAGCTGAAAGGACCCCAGGAAGAACAGACCCCCCAAAAAATCACCAAGACATATCATAATCAAGCTCTCCAAAATCAAAGACAATTAAGAGAATCCTAAAAGCAGCCAGGGGAAAGAGAAGTGTTACTTACAAAGGCAAGCAAATCAGATTAAGCTCTGACTTCTCAGCAGAAACCATGCAGCCAAGAAGGTAATGGGAGACATGTATAAAACTCTTAAAGAAAAGAACTGCCAACCAAGAATCATCTATCCAGCAAAACTGTCAAATAAATACAACAGTGTAATCAAAACATTCCAGGATAAAAGGAAGCTTAGAGATTTTGTTAAAGCCAATCCAGTGCTTCAAAACATCCTAAAGGGATTTCTTTGGAATGAAAACCAGCAAGAACAGACAACAGTCAGAGATCGACAGATGTGGCAACACCACCTGGAACTTGATCAAGGGATAGCAGAGTTCAGACTGGACCAAAATTACAGCAATGAATTCAGAAGACCTGTAAGGCCAACCAAAGCTCAAAATATTAACAATGTCACAGGGAAAAATATAGGAACACAGTGAGATCCAGGTGGTGAGGAGGTCAAGTAGATGGCAAGACACAACAGACTGTCTTAACAGCAGGGAAAACTTAACAGACTATAGGGTAACCCCAAAGAAAATTAATACTCCACAACTTAGCATGAATATGAAGATCCAAGCAGAACAAGGACACATTAAAACAAAGAATAGCACAAAAAGCACAAACCCAACACAAGAAGGCATGCAAAACAAAGGAACAAACAGCACTACAAAAAATTAACATAATGACAGCAGTTAATCCATACCTATAGGAGCTCTGGTAGCGTAGTGGTTACGAATCGGGCTGCGAACCTTAAGGTCAGCGGTTCGAAACTACCAGCTGCTCCGCGGGAGAAAGATGA